CGAATGTGATGAATGCTGATATACCAATTTCATACCTTAAGAAATTTTGACACTTGGCTTTCTTTGCTTCAGATACTTAAAAAAAATTGAAGCCTAGTTTATTTATGTAAAAAAATACCATACAGCAGTGAGCATAAACTAGATTTTCACTTGTCAACATAGGCAAATCTCCCACAAATTGGTGAATAAAGAAATCAGTTTCAAAAGGACACTTACAGTATGATCACATTCAAGTACAATGTTAAAAAACAAAGCACCACTCAGCAGCCTGTGGAGACACGCTACAGCATGGACACAAACATGGTACACTGGTTTTGGGATGCTGGTTGACTCTGGGATGGAGGGAGTGAGGGATCTAAGGTAGTTGAGAAAGAGTCTAGAGGAGAGTGAGCTTTGGGGCAAAAATAAAGGGGGTCCATGGACTAAAGTTTCCATGTGAAGAACAGGTGTAAGGGGAGTACTTAATTTGGTCAAGTAAACTGGATTCAGACACATTTTTTTCTTAATAAGGATTTATTTTTTTGGCGGGGGGAGGTAATTAGGTTTTACTTATTTATTTATTTTTTAGAGGACACACTGGGGATTGAACCCAGGACCTCCTGTATGCTAGGCATGCACTGCACCACTGAACTACACCCTCCCCTTTAGACACATTTAAATAAAGGAAATGTTCAGAAATGCTGAAGCCCCCTAAGGACCCCTCCCCAAGTCCCTTCCTCAACCTCCTCCACAGAGGAAACCACGGCCGGATGTGGGGTTTGATGTCACCAAGCACGTGTGAAGGCTGCCAGTCCACGCTTTTCACTTCTCTTTTCTGGCTGTCTCCCTGCGGCACTCCCTGACTCCCCGGGGGTAAGGAGGACAAAGGTAGTTCCCAGAATGTGGGCCAGAGTTTATTTTGATCAGCAGCCAGGTTAGAACAGAGGGAAATCAAGGACCTACTGGACTGGCGACATAGAGTCAAGATTTCACTCCGAGTTCTGTCCCTGCGAGGCCAGGCCCTCCTCCTGAGATAACAGTAGGCTCTGTCATTCAAGACAGTGACCTGTGCGCCAGACAGCTTGATCCACCTGGTAGCTCCTCAGCAGATGAAAGATGGTGCCGTTCCCTGGGGCCGGGAACAAGCCCTGCGTGCGGGCTTCCTTTTCCAATGGGATGGTTGACACTCTGACACTCTCTCACTTGGTCTCTTTCATGATCAAAACTGGGTAACTGAAGGTTCAGAAACAGATTAAAGAAAATTCTGTGTCTGGAGTGCACACTGGAGGGGACACGAATTGCATTTTTCTGAACACTCGTCTTGTTGGGCAGGGAGTGGGGAAGTCCCCTGGGGGGCCACAGACACTGCTGGTGTGGCAGACAGTCTCCTGCCCCACTTGTTAGCAGGCTGGGTTACAGACAGGTAATCTAGAATCAGACAACTCCTTCCACCAGAGAGGGTGCTGAATCTTGAGGGAATGATGCAAAGACCCAGGGAAATGAGAATTTATTTATGGCAGAGGTGGCTGAGTTTAGTCAGTGGTGGCGGCTTCCTAACCTAGTTTCTGAGCCCAGCTCTCCAACCTTCTCATCAATTCTGTGAACCTGATTTTCTGAAAAATTCCTTTTCTGTTTAAGTTAGCCAGAATCATCTTTTTTGGTTTGCTACCAAGGACCATGATTGGTAAATAATTTTTTCCCACATCTAAATATTTCTGATCTCTGGATGCCTCTTACAATCAGTACCGAAATAAACTTGCCACCCCAACTGCTGTCACCACCACCGTGCACGTGCACCGTGCAAAATCCAGCCGTGCAGCCATGCAGACACGCTTCTCTTCCTCCAAGGGCCACCTGGCCTCAGTGGTTGCCTTTGATAGACACACATGCATTTAAACTTTAACTTAAATTTGGGTTCTTAATAGTTATTTTATAAAAGACTTTATGCCAATGCTTCAGAGAAATAAAAAGTTACTGGGAATAGAGCTGCCAGATGTAAGTTTATTATAAGTGAAGCCAGTACTCATCTCTGGAGGAAGGGCTGCAAGTCCCTATTTTTGTGCTTTAAAGTAACGACGAAATCTTCATTAGGTTTAAGAAGTATAAGCAGGCAGTGAACTGTTTTGTTCACTACTGAGCAAGTGTAAAAAGATTGCCTGTTACACATTAGGCAACACAATCAAAAGGCAAAAAAAAAAAATACACCAAGTGTCTCAAAAGCAAGCAAAGAATCATCAAAGCTGGGAGAAGCTGGTCAGCTCAATCCCCACCCCCAACACAGTTATTACTATTTTACCATTTTCAAGTGTACAGTGAGTGGCATGAAGTGCACTCACACTGATGTGCAACCATCACCACCATCCACCTCCAGAATTCTTTCCATTTCCCAAACTGAACCTCTGTACCCATTAAACAGTAACTCCCCTCTCCTCCTCCCCCAGTACCCGGCAACCACCAATTCTACTTTCTGCCTTTACAAATTTGACTACTCTATAAGTACTTCATATAAGTGGAATCATACAGTACTTGTCTCTTTGTGACTAGTTTATTTCACTTAGCAGAACGTCTCCAAGGTCCACCCATGTTGTAGCATGTGGCAGAACCTCCTTCCTTTCTAAGGCTGTATTGGTCTGCTCGATTCTTACATCTTCACGAAGTAAGACAGGCACCAAATATCTAACTACCAAAAAATTCCAGCTGATTTTGAAGAAAGGATTGGATTTAATATGTCATTTAGTCTGCCTCCTGAAGGAAATGATTCAGAAGGACCTAGAGACCACTTATTCTCAAAGTTTGGCTGTGTAGCAGAATCAATATGGGGCTTGTTAAAATTTAGACTCCCAGCCCCTCCCAAGAACCACAGACTCAGTCCTTGGGGCTGGGCTTGGTGACCTGCATTTTCTAAGCTCCCCAGAAGGTTACTATGCCTGGTAAATTTTGAACATCCCTGAAGACCAAGATATACGATGGCAGAGATGTGCCTAAAAACAAACCAAAACAAAATACATTAAGTAGTTTTTTTTCCCAACCATAAGATGGTTAGATGATGTATCACAGAATTGAGGAAACAGAATTTAAAATTGCTTATTTAAAGATGCATCTTAAAATTTATGAACGCCCTGCCACCTTTGCTCATGCTGGGCCTAGACCCTAGCAAGTCCTTCCATTCTGGCTTAGGACCTAGAAATCTAGCCCCAGTCCCTCCATCCTTCAAAAGACGGGGCTGAACCTTGAATAAGTGGTATGTTATTTAACTTCTATAAGGTTCAATTTTCTCATCTGTGAAATCGGGTTGCTGAATGACTACACGAGAAAATGCTTTCAATAGTCTCAACCACAGTGTTGAGAATTAGTAATCTTTCAACAAATACAAACTTTCATTATTATGTCTGCCCCTCATCCCCCACCATAGGTGGATTCAGATGCTCCCTCTTCTGAGCTCCAGAGCCCTTTGCCTGTTCTCCTATTATACCACTTGACACAGAGTATTATAATCGGATGAATGTACAGAGCTCTCTCATTAGATCAAAAGTTCTTCAACCATAGGGACCACATCTCCCTCATGGTTGCACAGGACAGTGGCTATCAGTGTGGGCTCTGGACTCAGGTAGCCTGGATCTAATCCTGGCTCCATCACTTACTAGTTCTGTGACCTTCAGCAAGTTACTTCATCTCTCTACACCTCATTTCCTCATCTGCAAAATGGGGCTAATAATAGTGTCCACATACTTCAGGGGGATGTGGAGTTAATATATGTGAAGCATTTAGAATCACCTTGGCACCTAGAAAGCTCTCCCAAAAAGTTATCTACTGGTTATTTAAAAAATCCTTATATCCAGTCCAGGTGCACGGTGGGGACACAATAAATGTTCGTTGAAGGATGCTTGGCTGAGGCAAAGGATAGCCGGCAGCCATGGAGAAAACTGATCTAATTA